GCTACGTTCGAATGACTCGGCACTCGACCGAACCACGAATAAATCTTCAACCTGGCTTCTAAACGGACAAAGTCTTTGAGCAAAGGAATGGAAGGAGGCGTAGCGCCAACACCTTTGATGTACGTTGCTCTGGCCGCAACGTTGTCAAGGAAGTATACTGTGGGGCACCCTGTGAGATACTTCATCCACAGGCGTGTGGCCATGACTACCGGGAGCACTTCCAGCTCGTAAATAGGATGAGAAGAATGCTGTAATAGCTCGTCCACGAAGGTCTTAGGGACGACCTCTCCAAAGCACTGGACTGGAGTACCTGTCGGTGAAATCAAGACTGCACCAATGCTGGCAAGAACATCTGAATCAGGCTCATATGCGCCGTCAGTAAAGACGTACCAGGTGGTACAAAGAGTTTTAGAAATCACCACGGGCTTAGAGGACCCTATCGCATGCTTCAAGTCCATCAAGGTCTGAAGAAAATCTGGGGTGAAGGTGATCACCTTCTTTTTCTGTAAAGACTCAAGCGAGATGGCTTTGACAAGTTGATTCATCGTTCTGCCGAAGACAAACGCACTAAACCAGATCAGCCTTCCATGGAGCCTCTCAAGTTCTTTGGGCGTCGACCTCTGCGCACCTATCAGATTGTCAAGAATCTGCACCAGCTCGGACTTCCTGCTCTCGGTATGCTGTAGTGCGAAGGTGCCGTCATGAATGGCCCCAACATCAAAGATTACTCCAAGCGACTTGAAGGAGGGCCCGAAGGAAGTTGCCTTTGAGCCAGTCTCCGCAAACCACACTCCCAAAAGGCGAAAAAGGGATTCAACATAAAAAGACACGTTCGTCTCTTCACCCTCCACGCAAACACAAGTGTAATCGTCGAAAAAGCTTGTCCACAAGACTTGGAGAGCAACCACTCCTATGTATGTCAGGCTGGCCGCCACACGCAAGAATGAACTCACTGAGCCGGAGGCACCAAATGGTAATGCCAGGGCGGCAAAAATGCCAACCCCACCACCAGGTCGCTTGACCGCAATCTTGAGTCTGTCTGCATGCCACTGGTCCACACCGAACTGCTTGTAGGCCGACTTCAAATCGTAAGTGCGGCCGGTGAGCCTGGGGAGGCACCCACATGGGGCCTGATCCAACATGAATGCCAAGTAAGCACATAGCTCGTCCACGGCTTGGACACGGAGTTTTTCTCTCAAACCGTAGGCACCATTCACGCCACATATCGTGAAGTCGTCCACAAGTCGCACCTTTTCCTTCTGAGGTACGGGAAAACGCTTGGCCACAAAACACTCTCCTTCCATAGAGCTAGGAGCCAGCCAACCTTTGTCTACTTCCATCATAGTCTCATCCCACACAAGCTGATCGTGCTCGGATTCGGCCGCGCCCTGGAGAGAATTGACAACTGAGGCATTCAAGCCTTTTGACATGTTGATCAACTGTTACACCCCAAGGGACGGTCTTCTGACGTCCGGCCTGAAGACACCAGTAGACGGGGCCCACCCCGTAAGCTTGAAGCCACTGCAAATGTCATCAATGACTGCCACATCTGGGTAATTCAAATCCACCAAGATTTCACGCCAAAGAAGGAGGCGCTTTCCCTCGAGAATGCGCTGCAAGTGTTGGGGCAGCTTCTGGTGCAAGGCCTGCTCCTCATTCTTTAACTCAAGTGACCGCCTGAGCCATTTCTTCAAAAAGGAGGCCCTCGACTTGAAGCGCCCCAGCATATCTCCATTCAGCATGCTATGCACAACAGTCTTAATCTCTTGGGGCACCTGCGCAATGATATCTCTCGGATGACCTTTTCGAACCGCATCACGTATGAAGTCAGCCGGTTCACGAGGGATACCCACCTGCAAGAGTTCACATGGTTCACCGGCTTCCCATGACTCAATTTGGAAAACCTCCTCATATTTGCGCTCCATGTCATCTCGAGCAACACCCCCAGGAAACAGAATACGATGACAAACTTTGGCTCCTTTGGGCAGCTTTTGCAAAACACTCTGTACCTCTGATTCGTTTGTTGCTGACGCAAGAAGGGCAATGTATTTGCCGTATTCGGATACCAGTGGTCTTAATTTTTGCCCTTTGGGTTGCGTTGTAAAAAGCTGCCTGGTGGCAACATTAGGCACTTCCAGAATTTGTTGGTGCAAGTCATCTGAAAAAACGAAGCCACAACGAAGAGCCTCATCCTTGAGAATGCATGCAACGCGGTCACACAGCAACTGCGGGTATGCAGCTTCTTCACTTGTAGGGAAAACCGTCCGGCCGTGGACATCTTTGTAAGGCCGCCACGGCTCATGTTTGTGTTGTCCATCACATTGCAATGCAAGCGATTGAAACATGTCTTTTTCTGCATCTCGCGGATTCCAACTCCACCACGCGGTCTGCTTGTCACGCTTGCCGCCATGCATGCAATGGTGAAAAACTGAGAAATGTCGAGCACCAAACGTTTCCAAAAGCCTTGCAACGTCTGAAAATTTCCAGAAAAAGGAGTTTTTGGGATTTTCGATGCTGACAGATATGCCATGGGCAATCAGCTTGCTGATTAAGCGCACAGTCGCACTATAGCTGCGGTTGGCCTTGTCTACCCGTGCCTGATCATGACTGCTTAGATCAGGCAAGCCGTCAGGAAAGACTTCGGACCGAAGTGGCTGAGGCCCGGCTTTGGGATGTTCGCCAGGTATTGGCCGTCCCCTGGCTCGAGACGCTGTTCCGCATGATGGCGCAAAATGCGCATGTAAAATTGCATCCTTCTCTACATCGATGAAACTCTCCAAGTCATGCAAGCTTTGGGAGTCTGTCACATCAATTTGAAAAATAGGAAACTGCTCAGACCGATCCTTCGTTTGGTCAACAGCTACAGCCTCAAATCCAAGTTTCCTACAAGCCTTGGAAAGACGAGCACTGCCGGCAAAAATTTCTAAGATAATGCATCTTGAATTGACACTGCAAGGTTGCAACGTTTCAGCCGCAATCTCATTCACAGAAGTTCCAACGTTCACAACTTGATCCACTGGAGTCACTGAGATCCCCGCGGCCACAGGTGTTCCTGTTTTACTGCCATCAAGCTGTGTTGCTGGGTTTTCTTCCTGTCAACTGCTGTGGCACTTGTGTGCCCCATGTCCGCCCTTCAGACATTTCATGCATGAATGAAAACCAAAACGACAGCGTCCTCTCTTGGTTGCATTTGCACATCCCTTGCTCAAATTGAAATTCCAACACAATGGTTTGTTGTCTGATGTCTTCGTGCGGAGGCCTGACAACTCAGCTGGCAACTGGGCAGGCGTCTTGGATCCTTGACGCGGCTTCTTTGCTGGAGGTTGTGGCTGCTTGTCACCGCCACTGGCTGCAGGCGCTGGACGCTTCTGACTGAGTGGAGCTGGAACCAGGTACATGTTGACCCTTGGATCTGTCATGTAAACACGAAGCTGTGCATCCAACGGAGGCTCCCCATCTAACGTCGGTGACTTGAGGGGTCCATCATATTCTGAAGCAAGCAAAAGGAACATCTCCTGGTCTGCACGAATGATTTGTTGCAAGCTGAGGGCCTGAAAATGAGCTGGGGTGTCAGCCATGAGTGCCCTGAAGAGTTTGTTCACCCATTCCGAATGCGCATCAAACGACATCAATCCCACAAGATCAAATGCCAATCCACGACGCTGCAGTGCGTACATCAATTTCATTTCAGTGCCAACGTCAACGGTCGGCAAGGAATCAGCCGACACAGTCTTCAATGTCCCTTGTTCAAGAGTCAACAATTGTTTCTGTCTGGTTTTGGCATCGGCTTGGATCTCTGAATCCCTGGAACTGCACTTGGACGGCGCAACATACAAAAGAGCTCCCGACTCAACAATGTGAAAACACAGGTCAATAAGGCCATGTGATGCTCTCTGTTCATGCATGTGTGACAGGCCAGTGATCCTAGCCTGTTGCGCCTCAAGCCGACGCCTCTTTTCAACGTAAGGCAAGGACTTCGATGGCTCTGAAGTGTCACCAGCCACTGCCTGCTTCCTGATATCTGACATCACCAATGTCTGTGCCTCAAAGTGAATGCGTCTAACTATTGACACCTCGGCAATGGATGCAGGACCCTGAACAACTCGATCAGCAAATCTTTGCATGTCATGTTCCGAGACTGCTTGCTGGGGAGTTCCAACTGTGAATGCCAAGCTCGAAAACGTTGTGATCTGCAAGTTACTGAACCAGTCATGAAGCCCATCCAACAACTCATCACATCGCTTTTGAAAAGCGGCCTCTGAGTCTATCAGTGACATGGCAGCACGGCAAGTCCCTTGAGGAGTCGCACAGTCACTATGGGAAAGCAGTCTTACTTATAACTTGCAACACGTCAACGTGTAAAACATCTTTTCAAAAGAAATGCATCGGAAATCTTTTTAGTTGGAGAAACATCGACATCTATGCATGTGATTGCAAAAACCTTGTTGGGCTCACATAGTACCTGTCGGAAGGTTCAAGGCCTTCACTCAGAAAAGGTTGCATTCGGAAATTTGTCCTGAAACCGATGTCTTTTGCAAAAATTATGTTCTCAACAGTTTCGTTTGAAAATGGACGCTTCTGTATCATGTTTCCCACCATCTGCTTGGTGGATGATTGAGCCCAGGACGCACATATAGTGACTTGCCATGGATTGGCCGCTGAATCCAAGTGCAGGGTGGTCAAACGAAATTTGACAGATTACCCTGGATTTCACTGGTGCAGCAAGTAAACAACACAAGGCGCAAATGAACTCTTTGATGCATGCAGTGACATGATTCTCATACCTGAGTAAGTCACTCACGCTGAGGTCATGACGTGTTGCATCTGATTTGAAACCGTTGAGAATTTTCTGACATTACCAGGTTTCAAAAATGAAGTCCACATGATGCACCAAGAACATTGGCAAGTGAACTGACATCTGAAAAACCGCAAACACCTACAACTGCACGACTGAATCACTCAAGTGTCCCTGCTATTTTTTGTCAGCAATGGGCACGACCTCAAGCATACTCCGGCATCTTTCGCCAACAAGTGTGGCAACACGGAGTGTCGAATCTTGTCTCCTGCACGCCCTCGTAACGGCTGGGCTCAGCCACCCTTCCGCAAAGCATGATCCTTTGATTCTGCAATTCCATGAGGTGCAACGTTTTGAGTTTCTTGTGCTGCAAGAGTTTCAACTGGTTTGGCACTTTCGGTGGATGCACTGGCCGTCTGGCACTGCTGAGCTCAGCGGCTTCCTCATCCGAGCTAGACGAGGTGGTGGCAACTGAACATCCACTGTCCTCTGAGCAAGTGTCCAAGTCAATCACCTCGCTGGTATCGGCCAGTTCCCAAACGGATCCAGAGGCCTCAACTTTGCATTCAAGAGCTGCATGGGGACCCTCTGAACTCTTGTCACATGGCTCCACAGGTTTCAGCCAGCCATCATGAGAGGTGCCGTTGGCTGTGTCATCAACCGGGTCTCCAAAACCAAGACTTGGAGCATACGAAAATTCACTGTGAGCCCCATCGTCAAAATCTGGTGCTGTAGCAAAAGGCCCAGGAAATCTTCCACTCCTTGTGGCGTCAGGCAAGAAACGCCCTAGCCGCACCTCCAGGAGCAGCTTCTCGAGCATGCGCAATGGACGGCCAAGGCCATCACGAGCGTACACCAAGGCTGAGCGCACGGCCGAGGTGTGACCTCCAAGCACTAGCCGATCCTCCCAGGGCAATCCTCTTTTCGAGCACCAGGACAACAAAGTGCACTTGCAACTGTGCGATGTCAACCTACGTCCATCTGTCTCAATCTGAACTGAATGCAAAAGAATTGATGTCCATTGCTTCATCTCTTCACTGCTGAGGGGCCTCATACTGATACCACCGTCCTCCAAAGGTGCTGGCATAGTTGGATGGCCAGCTTCAAATGAAATTCCAAGCTCGGCACGGACCTGCGTCCAAACAGTGATCCAGCCGTCATCGACAACACCTGCAGCAGGAGCACATGCATGCAAAAAACAATTTCGAAAAGCAGTTGAATGTTTCGTTTTGTGATCTGCTATCTTGAGCTCTGCATAGGCAACCACTCCATCTGGGCCACAATCCAACAACATGGACTCAGCTTGTTGCAGATCATTCCAACGACTCCGTGAGTAAACAGCTAGAAGAATCATACCAGCCATGCAACGATCCCAACTGTCTCGGCTGCTGTCTAAAAGAACACTGTGCAACGCTACCAAGTCTGTGACTTTGAAGGGATCAGCCTGCCGCTTCGGCCCAGTGTTGCGACAACCTGACACGCCAAGACATCGCCTGGATGACGTCAGGGATTCCAGTTCCTGAACACCCACAACATGCTGCACGAAGAGCAAAGATTGTATGATGCTCTGAATCCTAGATGCAGGGGCTCCGGCAACTCTGAGTCCATCCAAAAATTGATAAAAATCTGCTTCAGCTCCAGGAAATGCAATTCGACGTGTTTCCAAGTCTGAAGTGAACCTCAAGAATGAATGCACACGTTTCCTAAGCGTGCTGGGCGCTTTCTTCCAGAAAACATCCCTCAACATACGCAATCTCTCTGCAGTTGTTTTCAAATGCAAAAGCTGTTGAACCACGATGATACTGCAAGGCAAAAGAATCAAAACATCATGCCAACGACGTAATGCCACTTGAAAATCAGCTTCACGTTTGTCCTTCCACGTTTGTTCAGCACCTGAACGCACAATGTGGTGCCATGATAGAGGCTCTGACACACGAAGCTTCTTGGCAGGCGCCGGTTCAGCGCGGGAGGCACAAGGGACAAAAAGTGGAGGCTCTGCTACTTTCCAGTCCATGATACCATTGGGCTCAGTTGGACTCTCAAAAACTGTCTTCCAGAATCCATGTTCCCAAGGCAACTTCAAAGAACTGTCAGCAGGGCACTCAGCCCAAATGCGATGAAAATCCATCAACGACCCCCCATGCTATTTGGTTTCCTCATAAAAATTTGAGGTCCCACCCACCCACACCTTGAAAGAGTATGTTGCGGACACAACATAAAATGAAGTGGATTCAGTATTATAAAAATTGACAGAGACACAAACCTTGTTCAAAAACATGGAACACAGTTTGGTGTCACAACATGAAACACATCTCAGCACTGAAAGACATTCACTGCCAAAGTGTTTTCATAAAAAACAGTTGTTTGAGGTTTGCAAAAACACAACAAACCACAGAGCAAAACGCTGACGCGTAGAGAAGCGAGGACAGCGAAGTAAAGAGGAGTACCTTTACATTACGGAGACGCGGCGCACACGCAGTGCAGAAGACATCTGCACAGCGAAGACAACAGACCTTGCACAATAAGGCCATCATCTTTTTCAAAGAGTTCAGGCGACAGACAAAGAGAAGTAGGACAGCACAGACAAAGCAATTGAACAGCAAAGTGCGCAGGACCTGAGTAAGGCACAAGCGAAATGAGGACAGAAGAGGAGGAGGGGCGTGCAGCAGAACAAGACAAGAAACGCAAAAATGAATTAGAGCAGTACAAGTGCACCTGTCACGTCTACGGACAGACACACAAGTACAGAAAACACTCAGCTCAAAACATACACCTGGGAGAATAAGTCCCCGGTGCACCTGTCACGTCTATGGACAGGTGCACCAGTGGACATGAAGACCCAAGTGAACAAAACAACAGAGGGACTAACCGGACAAGAGGAGCCAATATTAGGTCCCGACCGGAACAAAAAGGGCCCCACCCAGCGGACAAGGGGGGCCAAAAGAGAGACAAAGATAAGGCCGGAAAGGCGATGAGGTGATACAAGGGGTGCGACCCAGGAACAAGTGGAGGAGGAGGAAGAAAGAAGGCTATGTCTGACTCCGTGTAGTGTATTCAAGGTGGTGGCGTTTGTCTGCTCGGAGAGTATCACTCCAGCTATTCCCAATGGCAAAGGAGACAGGGTTCTCTGCTTCATTCATTGCAGCCAAGCGACATACTTCGTTGCATTTGGTTTCGAAAGCAGCTACATCAGTATCCGGTGCTCTTTTGCGTAGTTTCCGATCAGGGAAGATGCGCTCTCGCACGTGCTGTTGCAGAATCTGTTCCGGTAGATAATAAGCTGGTCGTTGGAACAACACTCTGCTGGCTAACTTTGCGCGATTGACTTCCCAGTGAGTGAACATATGTTGATGCTGTACTTGTTGCTTTTTTTTCCTCCGGTTTGGCCGATGTCGCACTAGGCTCGGTCCTTACAATTGCGTAAGCAATGAAAAGCAGGAATGTACAAGGACACGTGTGGTCCAAAAACTTTGGCAAATCATCACGAAACCAAAGACAAACAAAAAAACAACAAAACCACCACAACCGAAAACGACCCGCAAATCCCCCAGCCAGATTTGCGTTTCGCCTCAAAGCAAAACAGCGAAGCAACAAAGAACGGGGCAGGGCCCAACAAACAAAACACATTCAGATTTGCCTTAGATACAGTGACCTTAGCCACCGTATCATCCTCAAAAACATGCAAACTAATTATCCATTGCGGCAGTGCGTGAAATATAGTACATGATCGCACAGAATGTCTCACCTGAGAACAGATAAGAGAATCCAGTGTTGCAGGCAGACTGATGTGTAGCACGACAGAGGCCGCCTGTATGGACGTCAATATAGCAAATCCCGCATCGCTGCTGTTCATCCTGCATCGTTCAGCGTACGCAAGTAAGTCTGTTCCAGTCAATATACACCGCCGCAAGGGATTGTGATCTATTGCCCCCCCTAGATGGGGAGGAGAGTACTGACGGCCTGTAAGACATGCCAGATGGTGTAAGCCCTCACAGGAACCGTCATATAGTAAAGGGCCCAAGACCCTAATGGGCAGTGGGTAAAAAGGTGGCTGAAAAAGCCTGACCGGCACTATACGGCCATTGCAGACAGACGAAGCTTCTGACCATAGCATGGGCTCGTGAGCACAACCAGTATGCTACTGCCGACATGTAAGCAAAAGTTGCATTCGCATTGCAGTCGAACTCGTCCCCCTAAGCTATGAAGGTTGAAATGGTTCGCTGCGCCAGCACCAGATTCTCTGACAGGAGTCACTAGGCGTCATCGTCCCAGCAAGAGCCTGCGGAGAGGACCAGATGCACCGTAAGTTAGCAGTGTATTCCAGACCAGGCCACTCTCCCACCGAGTGGGCCATCTGCCAAGGCACTACAGAACATCCGCACAACGAACCATGTGGGCAGGCTTTGCTGCACGCGGGCGCACCAGACTGAACTGCAGGAAGCTCAACTGGACAGCGCCAGTAAAGCTCACTGCAGTGCAGCCTAGTCCATGGCTCTACCGGGAATCTACCGCCCCTCTCGGAACAAAGGCAGAAACAACACAAAGGAGAAGGGCCCTCCCTAATACGAAGCCGAAGAAGGAGCCACATGAGAAAACAAACCAATTCAACGTGAATTAAATGGGAGAGGAGAGAGGGGGGCAGTGTAAAGCTACCCCACCTCGGACGAATCCTTAGTCACAAAAAAATGAGACCAATGTAGCCAGGGTGAAACGACAGAGCTATTATGCAGGGCGGTATCCTCGGTATCCAGGCAAAAGAAGAAACAAACAACACGCAACCAACCAACAAGAAACCTGCCATCAAGGGGGGGGAAGCAGAAAGAGGGGGGCGGCCAAAGCACCACTCACACCACACCACGAACCACACAGAAGAAGAGAGGAGAGGAGCCAGGAGGCAGCAGAGGACAGAGGGAGAACGTGACACACACGCACCAGAAGGGGTACGAACGTGCCTTAGCGGTGTCCAAAAAGGGGCCAAGGATCATACGATGATGAATACCTCAGTGAGGGAGCACACAGCACCCCAACAACACAGGAAGCATGGTGTAGAGGGAAAGATCCCCACACAGGGCCAAAGGCCTTTGTTGCCATGAGACACAATGAAGAGGGGAGACAATGCGCCACAACACTCCACGCACAGAGGCAAGGCAACCAGGCCGTCGCCGGAAGCAACGATACCCAGAGGGAGGGACCAGTAAAACCTGGGCCAAGGCGCCAAAGAGGACCATCCGAGGGGGAGGGGGGGCCACGTCAGGCAGGGAACAAACAAACAAAAACAGAACCATAATACAAGGCACCAACACCTAAGGTAGCTCTGCTAAGGGCAAAACCTAGGGATCAATAACCGAATTCAAATACCTTAACTAGTGGGAAGGGTGGGAGAATGGTTGTCTCGTCAATACTAAGTCTCGGAGTAATAACATCAGTTTCGTCACCCATCTATGATTGTCAGGCAAAGGATGCGAGAGCACGCGCCAGTGCAATAGGCTTCATGGTGGAAGAGACCCTAGTATAATCTAAGCTCTCGACTGGACAGCACATTCAAAACACCAGTGCAAAGGTAACCCATACTGCCCGATCTGTTACACCTTAGCTGGCACTCACACCTACTACATATGAGTGTGGCTACCAACTGTTTGAGTGGTCTGAATAGGTAGGGGCCGGGCATGCTCAGCACGATGAACCTGACAATTATAAATGAGGAATCCTGAGTCCCCTGCTGCATACCAGTGCACCTGTCACGTCTTTGGACAGACACACCGGTATGGACAGTAACCTTAAGTGGAAATGACGAAAGGACCAAATAGAGAAGTAAGTCAACTCCCACCAACATTGTTGATGAAGCAAAAGCCACATATTGCGTGAGGGACAATGCGGAGTGAAACAGAAAAGAGGGGAAAGAAGAGGAGAGAAGGGGTGGACACAAAAAGGGTCTAAGTGATGCGAACTGGGGTGAGCGTGGGATCATGTCATACCTCTCGTGAAATGTTCCAAATAATGCTTTTTATCTGATGTAATGGTGTCGTTCCATTCGTTGGTGAGCCCAAACGAAACTGGGTTCACTCTTTGCTGATCAATAGCACGCTGCAGAAGCGCTCGGATCGCCCTTTGATGTTCGTCCAGGTCTTCCGGAGGAACCCGCCTGCGGACTTTCCTGTCTGGGAAGTTTCGTTCCCGCAGGTTGGTTTGCAAGGCATGTCCCGCTACATAAACTGCAGGTTGCTGGAATAAGACGCGTTCTGCAAATCTGTGGAGATGCACTGTCCACTCAGCAAACATATGGCTGTGCGACAGTTGATTCCTGAGTCGCGCTTCCGTTTGATGGAGGCTCCCATTGGTATGCCACAATCGCAAAAGACTGTAGTTGGAAGGCCAATCAAGTGGGCACAGTGTGGCTGTTTCTTTCCACTTCTCGGGTGTGAGCCCTGCTTGAGAGGGAATGATAATTTCCAGAGTAGTGCGATTCGGTCCCAGTGGTTGGAGACCTCGC